AACAAACAATTTTTGGCAGTTTGAGTTCTTAAAATTTATTACTGCCCTGTTTCTAAATTTTTTAAATATGTCAAAAATTTTGGAAGTCAGTATTCATAAAAATTACTTTGGAAGCCACTCTACTTAAAATAAATACAAAATTGCTGGAATCAGTTCACAACATTTTTTAGAGGGAGAGTATTCAAATTCTATTGCAACCTAATAATTTATTTGTAATGAAAGTTCAAGTTATAATGAAATATAATGCTTGAGATAAAAACGGTAAAGCAGTCCCTGTAACAGGCCATGGAGGTCCATAGGGTTGTGAGACAATGAGGGTCCCACATTTTCTAGACAGTCGGCTCACAGATGGCGGTAAGGTTGTCAGCCTCATGCCCTGGCCGCTCTTTACCTCCCAGGAAGATTCCTGGTACTCATTTCTGTTAGAGGCTAAGTTGACCCCAGGGCCATAATGCAGCTGGAAAGATTAGGTCAATTGAAAAAATCCACCTCATCGGGACTTGAACCCGTGACCTTCCGGCTTGTAGCCTAGAGCCTCAAACAACTACGCTAACGCAAGTTGTCAGAAAATAGTAGCTTGAGTTTGTAACTTACCTCCAAAGTAAGGAACTGCTACAATAATTGAACTTATGCAGAAAAATGTCTTCTTCCAAACATTCCAAATACTGAACTGAAGAACAAGTGAAATTTACTGAAAAGGTGGTGGTAAAACCCATGAAAGGAGTGGGAGATATTTAGGAAAATAAATGTTAATTTTTTCCAGTTAATCATCTCATTAGGGCCTTGCCTGCTCCAAGAAGGCAAGTACCTGTTTACCAGTACTTGGAATTCCCAGATCTAAGGTTGTGATTTAAGTAGAATAGGTTCTGTCCCATCCAAGTAAGGCACACAAAAACAAGGATACTGAATTATTGTGTTACATATACTAAACATTTTGCATTTTATTTCTTTTTATATTATTAACAGTTATTTTAGAAGTGAAATTTTTGTTGCCCACTTAACAGTTTCCATGGCCCCCCATTTCTCCAACTTTTGCGTGTGGCCCTTCCAAAATATAGCACGACCCCCTGGGGTGCCATATGGCCCCCATTGAGATTCACTGGTCTAATTGACAATGCTCTGTGAGCAAGCGCATTATTGTGATGGAGGAGTCAGCTTCCCACAGTTCATATTTCAGCTCACTTTCTATTTACTTTATCCCTCACACATTTCAGAACTGCCAGATAGAAATCTTGATTAATTTTCTGACTATCAGGAGTGAATGCATTATGCATAATGCCACGATGATTGAAAAAAGAAACAAAGCAAAGCTGGCATCATCGCTGTAAGCTCACTCAGCAGCTTCTGCAGCTGTTATCCATACTTTGAAACAAAATTTAACACATATATTTGCTCCTTTACATACTTCATGCTAAATGCCACAAGACAACAACACACTCAATCACAGAACCGGTTATAGAAACCTCTGATCTACTTGGATTGAAATGGTTTGCATGGCTAATGGTCAGGTTGTGAGGTCAGTCAAACAACTCCTAATATGAACAGTATAACACTCTCTAACCCTTTGTAAGTCAGCAGACTACATTCAGTCCCACAGAGAGCCAATGAGAACTGAGTTCCACTCTTTCATTTCGCTCCTGCTTCCTATATAATATGAAATTTCCTGGCAGCTGATTACTCAGCTTGCCACTTACTTTCCTGCTGGTATCTTACTTGACTTATTTGACCCTGAAGATGGAGGTAGTATGTTCCTCTGAAATATCTGTTGATTTTCAACGGACCACAGCATAAGATTCCAAAAGACAGAACCCTTCATAACCACTGCTGTGAGAGCCCCAAATCCTACAAATCAAATCCAAATCAGAGGAACGTATCGCCTCCATCTTCAGTGTAGAAGGAAAAATATAAGAAATCCGCAAGCGAAGAGACCGTGAGAACCAGTAAAAGCAGACTGGTGTTGGAAATATACACAGCTATGTGAGAGCAGTGAAGGAAGGGGGGAAGGGAAAGTATACAAGTGAAATCAGTTATGTCGGAGGGGGTGGGGGGAAAGGAGCTGGGACAAGCAGGTTTTTGTGTTGGAAGTCATGGAAGCCTCTCATCTGTTCTCTTAAAAACCCCCCCTGGGATATGACGCCAGATCCAAAAGGCTAC